GGATGTCACAGGATAGGACAGGGTTCAGGTCTGCTCTTCATGGGGTCACTATGAGTCGTACACAACTCAACAGTACCTAACAACGGCTACATACATCAATGAGGGCAGGGGGATGTCATTTCTTAAAGGTAGGTAAGGCATTTGAAAGTGTTTTCAGTATCTCCAGTGGGACTCTGTTTCTAAGAATGGGTCAAAAAAGAACCTGTTACACTCGAAAAGTCTCTGACTTCAGCTACAGGGAACTTCGACCACACATCCTGTTTGATTCTGTTGTAATTTACTGGCTATTACCTTTGAGTAGTGTCTATACACACAATTCTACGAATTAATATCTTTGAGAGGCAAAAAAAATTTTTAAAAGTCTGATTATCAATGAAATAATGCTTAAACTACACTGGGAAATAAGTAATGCTATTGTGAATAATTAATTTTAAAAACTTTTTAAATTTGAATTTTCAAATGTTAAAGGAAATGGGAACTAACATTGTCTGTTTTTAGGCACTTTAATGATATTATTTCACTTAATCTCCACAATCCTGAAAGCTAAAAGGCATTATATTATCCTTATTTTACAGGCAAAGAAAATGACTTTAATAATTTAGAATTTTACCTCTGACCCTGGACTAATGGCAATAATCTAATGGTTTCAATTAAACTGGTTTGAGAAGTATGGACAAGTGTATATGTGAGGTAAGGTCTTGTTTAAACTGGGTCCCAGTGACAGTTGCAACATCATCTGGATACATAATCACAAGCATTATTCCAATCTGTTGAAAACGCAACTTTCTCATCAATATAATGTGAATAACATGAGGCTTGAATAAAAACATACTGGTGATAAAAAAATACATTAAGCTATCGATGTTATTAAAAAAAAAACCAGTTGAATAGATTCTGCCTCATAGTGACCTTCCTTAATTATGTTTTCAAGGCTATAGATCTTTACAGAAGCAAACTGCCCTATCTTTCTCCCTCAGAGCACTTGACAGATTCAAACTGCTGACCTTTTTGGTTAACAGAAGAACAAATAATTCACTATGCCACTAGAGCTCCTGGATGTTACTTTTATTTTATTTTAATTGATATTTTAATGAAAGTTTACAGAAAACTTGGATTTCATTCATTCATTGTTGCACATTTTCCTCCCTACCCCTCCCCAGTTTGCTTTTCTCTTTAAAAAGATGCTGTCATCATTGCACAATTTCCTCCCTCTCCCCGGCCCCCAATTCACTTTATTATGCACCTCTTATTTTGGACTGCTGTCACACAAATAATACCTAATCATATATTTCTTCTAGACAGTTACTTTTAAAAGAAAGAAAACAAAACAATATGTACACCCACTGCTGTAGAGCTGATTCCTTCCATCTAAATCTTTATGGGAGAAGACTGCTGTCTTTCTCCTACAGAGCAGCTGGTGGATTTGAACTGCCAACCTCACTATTAGCTGTCTGATACTTCCCCAGATGGTTTTAAATGTGACAAAAAGCAATAATATTTTCTATTAAAAAATAAAAGTTAGCAATCTGAAAATATTAAGTGTTATCTTGATACATGCTATGAACTACTATACCAGACTAACTCATGAAGTTAATAAACAGGTATAAACAGACTAAAACTTTTCCATTGTCTCCTATTAAGGGAAAAATGCTACACAGTATGGGGTATTTTAATATTTAGGGCCCATATATTAGTTTCTTACAGGAAAAAACAATTACTTTTAATAAGGTCTGATACTAAATAAGGAGTCCTGGTAGCACAGTGTATTAAATGCAGGGCTGGTAACACATTTGAATCTACCAGTCACTTGGAGGGATAAAGATCGGCAACCCTGGAGCTCTGATAAGGGGTTGCCCTCAGGTGAAACTGGAGGGCAGTGGGCTTTCTGCTGTTGTTTATGAAATACTTTCTAGTAACAAAACAGGTATTTCATCCTAAACATATTCACTATGAAAATCCTGCAACCCACTTACTAAATGATTCTGCATAAATCAAATTCTTAAGAGATGAAAGGTTGGACCATCCTGTTAATCCTTGCTCATAGTCTGCTTTAAGGAAAACTAGCTGGCACTCTTGCATTTTAGACTCATCTGGACAAAGTGTAACATAAGCAGGCTGGAAATAAACACTTGAAAGATCACAGATACACACAGATATCTTAACTACTCCATAGATAAGATTGTATTTCAAAGAAAAAGAATTTCTCTTTCATACACATATTAAAGGGCTCCACGTTGGTTTCTGTTAAAACCACAAATGTAAAAAGTACTACTGAAAAAAAACCCCACAACTCTGTAGTACCAAGTACACTGCCAAAGTACCAAAAGAAGCAACTAATTTTCTTTTCCGATTTTTAATATCACTTTCCAAGCATATTTAAATCTGGAATAAAAGTAGTTTTTCCTGTCAATGGGTAATCCAAGCAAGAGTCTCATTTCATTAATTAAAATGATATATATATTGAATGCCAAACTTTCCTTATGAGGAATACTACATTTCATGCAGAATATCTAGAATTAATCTGAAGCTTCCATTTTGTCCCCTCCCTCTGTACTAATGGCCAGTCACTACAAAAAAAAAAAAAAAAATTCAATGGTACTTTCAACATGCTGAACTATTTATCATCTGACTTAAGATGATTACTGACTCTAAGCAAACTGTTGCCAAGGTTTCAAAAGCAAAATTTATTAAATAAAGCTGCATCTTCTGGCTTGAAACCAATAATGTTTAATATTTAAATAATATACTAAATGAAAGTGGGTCAATTACTAAGTATTTTTTTTCCTTGTCATGTGCCATTCAATCGGATCGGACTGGCACAGGAGGAGATTTCTCCTCCTTCTCCAGCAGAACATCTGGTGGATTCCAACCATGCGCCTTCGGAATTGCAGTGCAGCTTCTTGTCACTACGCCACCAGAACTCCTAAAATACTAAGAAGTTCAACACTTACGAACCACAACCTCTTACTAACAAATAAATATGAAAGAAAATTGCCAGTATTAAACCTTCAAGCTGGAAAAAATAACCAGTCAGATGAGAAAATTAACAGAAAACTATACTGTTTTAAAATTTCAAATTTATGAATACAACAACATCCTATAGGTAAGATGCTATGCTATCAAAATCCATGACATTATTCAAGTATCAAAGTCTTGGCAATGCCCACAATTGTGGCCTACTACTGACTAGTGGGTTAAGTTTTAAAATTTTTGTATGCCAACAAGCAGTCATAAGCATGATTGTGGTTGTTGTTAGGTGCCTTCAATTCATACTGAACGCATGAATAATGGATCTGAACCTCGCTCTATCCTGCGACAGCCCATCATCTTTGATATATTTAAGCCTGTTGCTATAGTCATTGTGCCAACCCATCTAGTTGAGCATCTTCCTCTCTTTCACTGACCTTCCACCTTTCCAAGAATGGATGTCCTTCTCTAAGGACCAGCTCCTCTCAACACCATGCCAAAAATTATCTGAGGTGAAGCTTCACCATCCTTGCCTCCAAAGAGTACTCTCTCTTTACACTCCAAGATATATCTCTTTGCAGTCCGTGGGAGATTCCATATAATTTTCCATCACCATAACTCAAAGGTACTGATTCTTCTGCCACCTTTAGTCACTGACAAACATAGCAGCAGCTATTAAGTCTATTTTAAATCCAATCTCTGTAAAGTCTGCCTGATTCTTCTGAAAGATGGATTTAGAAGCACCCCTAAATGGCAGGACAGTCTCTGAATGGGGTTCCAGAACTATAGTTAAGCCAACTGTGATTTGATCTGGGTTTTCTTTAGTTCTTTGCCTAATTGTGGCTGGATTCTTACAACTAAAGACAAATCAACTCAGACAGGCCTTGAAGTAGATGCTAGAATTTTTTCAAAAGCGTAAAAACGTGTTGAATCTGTTCTGCTATAAACTTTTTAATTTCCTGATCTTGCTAAGCAGAAAATTTAAATCTGTACCAGATTTCCTGCGTATGTAACAAAAATTACCTATGTCTAGGACATTATCAACTCTCTCTGTTCCATCATGATATCTATCTCATAAAATGTTGCAAAATTAATAGGCAGCAATTCACAAAGTTTAAAGCAAAATACCAACAAACAAGGCATTTTTTAAAGGTCTCAGATTGGGGAAAATGAGCAACAAGGAGGGTTAAGTTCTGCAAAGCATTAAGAGCAGATAGCAATCTGAATTACTGTGCAAACCCACAAAGTTCAGAGAATCACTGCTTGGCGAAATCAATACATTCCCATTCCACTAGGGATAACAGTATCTACTCCTTTCTACTTCTCCAAATTTTCCATAGATTTCTTCTTAAACAGTAAAGCATTTTTTAAGTATTTATTATTATTTGGGCCAAAAGACAGGAATTTAACATCCAATTAAACAAAAACTGCATTGATCGGGCATTTAGGCTTTTTCTTTATAAATAAATACATGGGCTTGCCCACTCCCAGCTAGAGTTTGCAATCTTAGCCAGGATCCCTGAACCCTCAAACGGGAAGGGGAAGTTTGGGTCGGAGGTGGACGCAAGACGATCTTACCACTGGAAAAGTAAAAGGGTAAGTGTGGACGAAAGAGGAGCTGAGAATCGGGAAAGTGAAGGTCAGACGGGTAGACTGTTAAAGCCAGACGAGGAAGGGACAAGCTGGGAAGAACTCTGGAACATCTAAGGCAAAAAGAAGTTACAATCCGACGGGCAGGTAAACGAAGGCGCAGGTGGGCACGCTGTTCGGTAGGGTGTTTGTCTCTCTTATAATGGGACGATGAGAGGAAATTGGATAGAAGTCAGAAAAGAAAAAGACGCTCAACCTCCAACCTGTTTGAAAAATACAAGGGCTTGAAGGGAGGTGGCAAGGCATCGCCGGGGAACGCAGGTCACACACGCCCGAGCAGCAGCCCCGGGCGAGCGAGGAGGAAAACCACGCAGGAAATGGCCCTGGCGGCGCGGGGCGTCCCTCTCCCGGGGCGTCCCCCTGTCGGGGCGCGCGGGGCTTACCTTTGAGCTGGGGTAAGGGGAGCAGCTCCGCCAGGACGCCCTGGCTGCGGAACTGAGACGAGCCCTGCGAGCGCTTCTGTCTCTGCGCCTTGCGCACCGATTTCCGGGTGAAGCCGTCCACTTTCTCCGAGGCCGAGATGGCGGCGCTGGCAGCCCCCGCCGGCGGTGGCGACGATGACGACATCTCCGCGGCCCAGGCGCTTGGCAGCTCCCGCTGCTGCTTGCACAGAACCGGCAGCGGCGGCTACGGCAGGAGGAGGAGGAGGCGGGGGAGAGGCGCGGAGAGCTCGCGCCCCGCCGCCCCGGTCCCCCCGGCCACACCGCCCTCCTGCTCGGGGTGCCGCCGAGCTTCTCCTCGCCGCCCGCCAACGCCTCACGGCCACATCTCAGTCCCGTAGGTTCCTGGTCCCCGCCGCGCTGCGAGTGCCCGGGGCTGGCGGAGGGAAGAGTGGGGGTGGGAGAGGGGTGAAGAAGTTGTTGACTCGCGGCGCAGAGGGCGGACGGAAAGAAGTCCTAAGTTTAGACAACTGAGGCTGGTGTGCGGGCGCCGAGGGCTCTCCTGGTTCCTTCAGCCGAGGTCGCCAGTCGGCTGGCCGGCCAGCACTTCAGTGGCCGCTGCCAGTGCTGCCCGTCCTGCCTGGAGCCGCCTCCTGGGGTGCTGCCATCGCGGGTCCCCTCGGAGCGTCCGCCTTGGTGCCCAATCTTGGCTGTCAGCGCTGGCCCCTCATCTCCCGAGGCGGTGACCTACCGCCCGGGTCCCCCCCGAGGCGCGCACACTCGCTCCTGGCAGCGCCAAGCGGCCGAAAGCCCCCTCCCCCACGCGCCCGTCTGCCGCCCACGGAGAACCCCCAGCGAGCGACCGCCACAACTTGAGAAGGTGGTTGGTACAGGGAAGGGGGGGAGTTCCGCGTATGTGTGTGCTCGTGTGCGCGCGCGAGGGCGCGCGCCTCTGGGGAGGGGCCTGGCAAGAGGTAGGGAGGGAGGTGTTTGATTGACAACTTCGGCCGGGTCCCGCCAGCCTCTGAGAAGCTGCGCGAAGGTCGGCTCTCGTGAAGAGACGAGAGACGGCTGGGGGGGTGAGGGTTCGCAAGCATGCCAGCCCCTTAGCCAATTAAAGTGCTCAGCGGCAGGAAAGGGGCTGGGGTAACGACAGGATCTAGGAGGTTGGGCAGAGGAGAGGGGCTTGTTTATGTGACGGACTTGAACAATAGCCTATCATGAGTGAAGGAGGTGAGCGGGGTGGGGCGGGGTTGCCAAGTGCGTCACAGCACTATAACGAATCCTCTGGGGACTGGAGAATGGTGCCCCTCCATCAGGGAGCACATTTGCACGCCTGCGCAGCAGCTCCAGGCTATAATTGTTCTCCTGATAGCCAATAAGAAAACTGGAAAACTAGAATTGGGGAAGTTTAGAGAGCAAAATAGAATGTGCCTTCCCTCCTCTACTGGCCAATGAGAACTTGAAGCGGCGGGTGGGGGACCCCGAGTGTCACGGGCGCGAAGGCGAAAGGATGCCAAGTGTTGCGTCACTGAAAAGGGGCTGGCCACTGGCCGGGTAGGGAAAGGACAGTGTGATTGACGCCTCGGAGAAATTCAGTCCTGAGAACCTTGGAACCTTATTGGCTTTAAACTGTGTGAATGATAGTTTCCGGACAGTTTGTAGTCTTTTGATAGTGTAGGGGCATGGCCCTCCAAAGAGCTGCTCTCACATGAAGTCTGAGCAATCTAGCATCTGCTGTTTCCAGTTCACCAAGTCCACACTCTCAAAAAAGAACTCTGTAAATCCCTGCTTTCTGTCTCGCTAGTTTACACTCCTTCATTAGCCAAAAGCCTTGAACAACTTAAACAGAATGAGCACACATTCGCTCATCAGTGGTTTGTGTGTTTGGGAGACTTAGCATTTACTCTTACTAGATTTCTAAAAGATTTTGTCTATGAACTTTTTAAGGACGAGGACTGGTTATCTTACTCTTTTTAAAAGATATCATTGTTGTTACGTGCCATAGAGTTGAGTATGCCTGATAGCGACCCTAAAAACAACAGACCTATCCTGTGTCATCCTGATCATCTCTGATACACTTAAGCCCATTACAGCAGCCACTGTGTCAATCCATCCCTTTGGGGCTCTTCTTTTCCTTCAGTAGCCTTTCCGAGCATGATATCCCTTTCCAAAGAATAGCCTCTCCTAGCAACATGTCTAAAGTATGATAGAAGCCTTGCTGCTCTTGTTTCCAAGAAACACTGACTGCACTTATTCCAAGACATGCTTGCTCTTTTGGTAATCCATGGGATATTTAGTACTCTTTACACGACAATTCAAAGGCATCAATTCTTCTCCTGTCATCCTTATTCATTGTCCAGCTCTCAGATGCATGGCAAGTGATGGAAAAGACCATGACCTGAATCAGGTGTATCTTAGTCTTCAAACTGACATCATTGTTCTTCAGCATTTTAGAGAGGTCCCTGACAGCAGACTTGCTCAAAGCAATGTCTTATGATCTCCTGACTGCTAGTACCAAGAATGTTGATGCACAAAAGATGAAATAATTGATAATTTCAATCATTTATTTATCATGATGTTGCCTATTGGCCCAGTGGTGAGAACCTTTGTTTTCTTAATGTTGAGATGTACTCTATATTGAAGGCTGCAGTCCTTGGTCTTCTGAAGCAAACATTTCAAGTCCTCCTAACTTTAAGCAAACAAGGTCGTGTGATCTGCATAACTGAGGTAGTTGATAAGTCTTCCTCCAATCCTGAGGCGACATTCATCTTCATAGAGTCTAGCTTCATGAATTATTTGCTCAGCCTGCAGATTGTTGTTGTGTATTAAGTCAGACACATAGCTGACCCTCCTGCAGTTTTCAGAAGCAGTTAATTGCATGGGAGGAGATTGCCTCTTTCTCCTGCAGAGTAGCTGGGTGATTTGAACTATATATATCACCTTGAGTTGCCAGTGCAACTCCTTACAGCCAGGATTCATTTGACATTAGCAATGATATCCTTGATATTAAGGCCTAACCCCACTTGAACTTCTGGCAGTTCTCTATGTATTGTTCTTGTTAGAAGGAAAAATGAATTGAGAGAGAGGGAGAGGGAGAAGGAAAAGGAAATGGAGAGGGAGAAGAGAAAGAAACTGGTCCCGAAAACAAGCTTTTATTGGCCTGAGAGGGATGCCAAGTGACTAGGAGCAGAGAAGGTCAAAATGGCCTGAGGCTGTCAAGGGTGGCCTCTACTAGGGAAGATGGTATTTTGCTCTAATCTGGGGCTTTAAATTTACTTGGGTTTGGGCTTTTGTTATCAGCCCAGAGCCTTATCAGGATCCATTGTCTGGTTTGGTCTTTGGTCTGGTTTCTAGTCTGGTGTTTGCTTTGGTCTCTGCTCCAGGCATTTCTTAGATGTTATCAGGTTTCTCAAGGAGTGATCAGGCCTGGAGGGCAACTGCTATATTCTTCTTCCATTCCAGACCCTAAAGGGATATAATGGTTAGGTGAGAAGTTATCTCTAGCTACTTCCTGCTGAACTGGGGTGATGGGGGGGTGGTGTTGGTTTCCTGTAAGGTCTGAAGGAGGAGCATCATTTTCACATGTTTTGGGGCAGTTACTTAGGAGATGACAATGAGGTGGTTTATTAAAAATTTCTGAAAGAGATTTCTAAAACAAGGAGCAAATGTTATAAAAGTTCTAGCCATTTTGGATGATCTTTAGCAATATTTCGCTTGCCTGTAGTATTAATGACTGATAATTTCTACATTCTGTTGAATCACCTTTCTTGGGAGGGGGACAAAACCGGATCTCTTCCAGTCAGTTGGCCAGTTAGCTGTCCTCCAGAATTCCTTGCATAGACTGGTGAGCACATTCAGGGCTGCATCTGTTAACTGCAACATGTCAGTTGTTATTCCATCTATTGCTGGGGCCATATTTTTTGCCAATATCTTCAGCACAGCTTGAACATCTTCCTTTGTTACCTTTGGCTATTTCATTTAATGATCTTAATGAAAAACCAAAGGGATTAGATTTTCTAATCAAAGAACTAGAAGGAGTTGAGAAAACAAAGGGAAAGTTACTATAAACAGTGTGAATAGCAAGTGAAAAGTGTAGATCCATGAGAGAAAGGGAGGAAAGGAAATGTGAGCTTTATCCTTAATCTGTGAAGAAACTGAAGAATTTTAATTGGGAGAGTGATATCAAATTTGCATTCTACAAAAATTGTGCTGTTGGCAGTGTGAATTGATACCAGAAGACATGGACAGTGGACCAGAAGATTAAGGCATCTGAGGTGAGATAAAGATATTCCTCAGGAATGTTATGAAAAAATAAAAGGACTTGGTCATTTATTTGGTGTAAAGAACAGAGAGGAAGAAAAAATAACTCGCAGGGCCCCAGAGAAGCCTGACTTGTGAGTACACTTTGCAGGAGAAGAGGCTGTCCTGACAGAAAGGCCCTGAACGTGATCAGTAGTAACTGTTATTTCCTTAATAAACCTCATAATCATGACTATTGTCTGTGAGTTCTGTGTGGCAGTTGCTGAATTACTGAATTTCACAAGAGAAGTAGTGAGTACTGTGGGAGGGATGCTGGTGTTGGAATCAGTAGATATCTATGGTACTCTGCATATGCCAGTTAAAAGAATTCTTTTGGGTCTGAGAAGGAATGTGTGAGTGAAGTGGTATCCACATTCTCCACTTCTCAAGTTGTCTTTATTTCTCTCTCTCCCCAATAAAGAGGGAGTTAAATGTTACATTTCATAGAATAAACCAAAGTTCTCTCTACTGATGCATCACAAAAGTGGGTATTTTTTTTTGTGGTTGGTTTTTTGTTTGTTTTTTAAAAAAGAAAAGCATTCTTTAAGGTTCTGGTGTATTGTTGGTTTTTTTAATTATGTTTCAAAGAGAACACCAAAGTTTCCATCCTGATAATTTATCAAGGCACCTTTTCTAATAGTAACATTCAACTATGATTGGAGAAGTAAGAGGGAGAGTGTAGAAAAAGAAAACTCAAATGATAAAAGATAAAGGAAAAAAAGAAAAGAAAATGAAACAAATAAAGAATGCAGACTACAAAAGCAAAAATGGCCACAAGCTGAATATTATAAATGCTAACCACTGGCATAGACAAGAGAGGCTCTCTCCCAACTGGTGGCAGTCTTAAAATTCCCAGAAAATTGTGCTAAAGAGTTTTGAAAACAA